GGGGACACAACAATATGCACAGTAAATAAATTGATGGTTGTCGAATGCCTGCAACAAACAATGGGTTAGTAACAAGAAAAGACGAGTATGAGACGCGCGACCACCCTCCGCGACGGTTCACGAGAAAGTGAGGAAGCAAGCACAGACCTGCACGGGATGGTACGACCTTGGTACACGGCGTACACGGCTAAGTCAATAAACTGTGTGACGCAACTCACTAGCGCGTTGGATCGACGGAGAGCACCGATACTCGGCACGCTCTACCGTACTCTCTCGCTCGCACACCTCCCCCCATAGACCAGTGTAATTCTTCGGTACGCGTCAACACCGACGGAGAGCATTGATACCGCGGCTGGCTCTACCGCTCTCTTTCGCACGCCGTGACGTCTCACCCGATTCTTGGAATTCCGCGGCTACGAGATGGCTCATTACGGTAAGGCATTCCCGTAAGGGAAATTGTAAGCCGCTGGCCAAAAGGTAGATTTGATCAACTATTTATGAAACTACTCCTGTGGAGGGGCTGTGAGTCAGGACACATCACGATTCGTGATTTACGACATTTTTGTATGCGACGTAAATGATAGATACGCGCTCTCATTGACACATTTCACCCACCACTACCATATGCCCGTACGCTGCACGCCGTTGCCCGTCAGTGAGTTTGGCGGGCGCTGAATTGCCCATCACTGGAATATACCAACAGTTCCATTTGAAATACGCGCCTTCGTCACCGATACCTCTACCGGCATCGTGCGATCCTAATACAAAAAGCAAAAATCGGCAACAAAGTCAGTTTTCTTCAGAGTGGCGCCATCTGCGAGCAAGAGAACTCTTACAATATTATGTGATCCTAATACAGGACGCAGAGTTTTACGCAGAATACATCGATCGTACGGAGGATCCATCTCGGAATATTCCGAGACCTCTTATCATGTATGTCATCCTAATACAAAAAACAAAAATTGACAGCTTATTCATCATCCCGATAGAGGCGCCACCTATCGTTTTACGACCTCTTTTTATGTGATGTAATCCTACTACAGGAAGCAACTTTCGACGGAAAATTCAGCATAGCAATAGAAGCGTGCTGTTAATCGTAAGACCTTTACTGTTTGTATGAGATCCTAATGGTAGAAGTAGATTTTGAGTCAAGTCTCGCGATTATCTTATTTGGAACGACGAATTTGATGGTAGCACAAGACACGTGTGCAACGAGCAGTGATAAATAAAATGAACAATCGTATCAGGTAATAGAAAGCTCAATAAATAAGAGATACCTATATTTGTTCGAGCTTATCGATTTATTTTGCGTATAGTACAAAATGGCGGTGATACATATGAGATATGTATACATTTTATGCAATGAGATAATTGGTATCGTTTATCATACAAATTGCTGTGATCGGACTAAGTAACAGTTTCGCCAGTCGTTACCATTAATTATATTGACACATATATTTTGTTCCATATTTTTTATACGATTAATCATGAAAATAAATTACAAGTAACAGTACGAAGTTATAAATAAATAAGAGGAAAAGCGATAAAGTATAGAGAAAGGAGTGAAAAAAATGTAAATTACATTAGATGTACGTGACAGTAAGTGTAAATAAATTATTAATGAATTTTCATTTACTTAATTAAATTACAAATAGAAAAATCATTTCTTCAAAGCTTGTTGCAAATTATTAAATGGAAAAATTAATTTTTGCATTTCCAACTTGTCTGTGGTCGGAAAATCATTTTTGCCGTTGATAATCGAAACATGTGGGCGGTTTTCAAAAACCTCTATTAAAACAACGAAGTCAAATTCCAAATGTCGAATATTCTGCAAGTAACATTATTATTTAATAGCATATAATATGTATATTATTATTAAAGGTAAGAAATTGTTGCAAATAACTAACCAACCAACAAATTGGACAAACTTGTTTTAACCTTTTATTGGCGGTGTTCTTCTGGGTTGTCCAAGACGCTTGTCCTCTTTTACCGACAGAGATCGATTAATCGAAAACTGTTGCAATTTATTGGCCAACCATCAAATTGGACAAACTCGTTCTGACCTTTCATTGGTAGTGTTCTTCTACGTTTGTCCCGGACATGTGTCCTCTTTTACCAGCAGAAACCCATCTGCGGATACAGTTATCGTGGAAAAGAATTCACCTTGAGGATTCATAAGGCGCCGGTTACAGATCCATACGTTTTCCGAACACGCACCCCATAGGACACGCAAATCGCTTTCACCCTTGTGTCGCCTGAGTGTTTCATGAAATTTCGGCGCTGGGAGAGTGCCTCGAATTGAACGTTGGAATCGGTATCATCGAACACCGTGGTAATGTCGCGATCCCCGTCCATCAGTAGTTCTGATTATATTTCGCGCCTAAATACGTTACGCTAACCGAACGCATACTTGTTGCAGATTAATGTCAGGCATTGCGATTGCTAGGCTCGCCGAAGAGCGGAAAGCATGGAGGAAAGATCATCCTTTCGTAAGATACCTTTTTTGCCGCTTTCATTTACTCACTACGGTATCGAGAGCGCGCGCGGTTATCACTTCACTCTTTCTTGAATGATACTTCTATTTAGATCGTTCTGTTATTTTTGTTGCAGCAGAAAATATTTATCGGTTGAACGTTATTCGAATGCCAACAATTTTTTTATCAACAGTTCGCGGATCGTTTACCAGTTAATTTGTTCATACCCTAACCATAGCGTCAAACACCGACTTATTTACAAACTTCAGCTAATATTAGTAATAAGAGATTTAGTAGCCGATTGTTTCCATACAATTGCTTTGCCATCTTTGCTAAATAAATTATTTATGGTTCCATGAAAAAGAAATATATTTGTAATGTAATTATTTTAAATAGGTTATAAATGTTTCAAGAAACAGTAAAATTAAAATCATACTCAGGCTTGCATTAAGTATTCAGCTTTTAAAATAGTTTGGATTAATTTTTAAGAAGACTTCAGTAATTAATTACCATATAATATGAATTATTGTATTATAGGGATTTGTAGCACGACCTATTAAAAATCAGGATGGAACTCTTAACTTGATGAATTGGGAGTGTGCAATTCCTGGAAAAAAGTCTGTAAGTTGCAATTCGTAGTAATGTAAAATGTATTTACATTAACACCTTCCTAATTGAAAAACTATTTAGGATAGAATTTTCTCTTATATATGACCTAGCAGATTAATAATATGGTCTCATATTGAATGTTGTAGACACCATGGGAGGGTGGACTTTACAAACTACGTATGATTTTCAAGGATGACTATCCCTCTAGCCCACCGAAATGTAAATTCGAACCTCCATTGTTCCATCCAAATGTATATCCATCAGGAACAGTATGCTTATCACTCTTAGATGAAGAGAAAGACTGGAGGCCAGCCATTACTATCAAACAGATCTTGCTTGGTATTCAGGATTTGTTAAACGAACCAAATGTCAAAGATCCAGCACAAGCAGAAGCATACACAATATATTGGTACAAATACTAGTTCACATTATATTACTTTTCAATTGAGAAGTACAGTGAAGTAAATAATGTTTTGTTTTGTTACAGCCAAAATCGTTTGGAGTATGAAAAACGTGTCAGAGCGCAAGCTAGAGTAATGGCTCCCCAGGAATAAGTCTATATTAAGTATCATTCAATTCAATTATTCCAGCTATATAAAGAGGTTATTGTATACCTACAGTATATTCTAATATTTGATCTATATTTCATATCTTTTTTATAAGTGACATTAGGTGTATAAAATAGCTAATTTTCTATTATCTGCATTTTCGTTCATGTAACAAAATTTCAGTATGTGATTATTAATTTTCTCTACTAACTATGCATTATTTTAAACACAAAAAAAAACAAGATATAGTTCTCCTGTAAGAAATTTTTGGTATTGTGTTAAACTACATTTGGAAGTTCTTTGTTAACTTTTGTTGGTATAATGTGAATCTACGCATTTCTTTGTAACCTAAATTTTAATTCATAAGTGTTAGATACAAGTAATGATAAGTCCCTGAGATAAACTGTGAAGTAGATTCTATAAAGAAAATGAAAAAAAAAGCACTTGTTTCTCCTTCAACCCTTAGACAGTCAGTGTCTTTGAAAAAATATATTTAAAAGTCTCGTAAGCATTGTACAAATCTTCAGAAATAAAGTATTCCAATTCATTTGAATCTGTCCTCATTCTAACATCTCTGGTTACGTTTGAATACGTTTTGAGTACGTTTTGAATGTTGAGATTAAAATGCGGGGAAGGGTTATGTTTTTGTGTCCCGTTATAATAGGAATGGATGGAAGTGCTCCATTTGGCGCTAAAATCACTCCAGTAGAGTCCAGGTTGATCTTACATTCAATCTTGCGTGTTTCATGCTATCGATCGCCGCGCATCCACCACTACTCGCGTCCATCGTAAAAGATAAGTTAGTGTTCGGGAAATACTCAAGCGGAGAAATTGAACTGATCGCTCTTACAAAATTTATATTGTTCGTTGAAAACATTCAGTGAGTTTAAATTACGTATAAATTTGAGAAACTCATGGAATCATGTCGAAACAATCAGTGTGGATATTAAATGCCGGGATTACGTCGATCTGCCTCTTAGGATTAGTTGCTTGTTTTTACACGCATGTCGTGGAAGAATTAAAGGCAGAAAATGATTCTTACGTGGCATTGTGTGACATCAGTGATCACATAAGTTGTTCTAAAGTGTTTACGACTGAGTAAGTTTTCACATTATTTGCGTACGTGTCTACGTGATAAACCAGTGATAAACTCGGCAAGCGGTGTGAAGTTAGCGTTTTTGTGCGCAGTAGGATTTTAAAAACATTCCCGAACGTTTCAACACAGAGATATTTAAATGATAATATAGAGCTGAAAATTATTGGCGGTCCAGATTAAAATTACAAGTACTGTATAATGGATAAAAAAATTATAATTCTTGATTAGTGATAATTAGAACTTCTACTCCAATTAGTATACATGCATATGCAAGTCAATCTTTAATAAGTTCCACAAAAATTCAATTGTGTTTATGTAATTACATTTATAATCTATCCTTCGATCAAATTATTCAATGTACGTGCATATACTCAAACTTTTTAAATAGGATTTTGTATTAGGTAATGTTATGTATGGAAATTCGCCTTAATTACAGTGAGCATGCGCCCGTCGCGTATTGTAAATCAAATATATGTATTGGTAGTTGTAATTGAAACGAAGCATTTTATTACAGATACGCAAAAGGTTTGGGAATAATTCCAAAAACGTCTATTTTATACATGCCAAATTATATGTATGGAGTTATATTTTATACTTTGGTTGCGATACTCAGTACGTATTGTTTTCGCCACGATGTATTTAAAAATTCATGAATAAGTATACTTAGCTGCAAAAAGATAATAGAAGTAAATTTTAAAAAAGGGCACGCTTTATAACAGACACATTTACTTATCTATAAGATATTGTAGTTTCGTTTTTATTTATTAACAGTCTAATAATTATCTTTTTAGGTATGTTTAATAAATATCCGATATCAGCCATTGCTGTAACGTTAGCAGTTTGCTCGAATTTGGCTACCCTTTATCTGGCCTATCTTTTGTACATTATAAACAGCATTTGCGTGGTCTGTGTTAGTACTTACATCATAAATTTCATTATTTTAATACTCACTGTTAAGAAGCATCGAAACCTATTCCGTGATGGCACAAACAAGACGAAAAAAAGGAAAAAAAAGTCAGAATAAAGATTTTTGGAAAATGTCAAAGTTTTACAGTACGACTCATCGAAAAGAAAATCACTAGAAATCAATGGAATATTACTTTGAGACTATTCACGTATCGCTAGACCGCGAATGTTTATGCGTTTATGTAAAATGAATCAAGTTTTTATCCTCTCTTCATTTTCGACCGATCCCTTCTTATTTAACTGCACCATACGAAGTATGAATTTTGTAACCATATACAGTCATGAAAAATAAAATATTGTTAAGAAGAATCGTTACCATTCGTTCTCCTCTATCGACCTGATATGTAATCTTGGATTATCGATTGATATGTGAGGTAATACAGTAATAACCACATATTGAAATGAGTACTCGATACAGTGGCTTGTAAGCAGCAGTGAACGTTACTTTACACTATACAGTATGTAATGTTAAACACTTTTCGGTAATACCTAATACTTGGCGTGAGATTCTTTCTTACAATTAGTGTATTCGGCACATGTATTGTAATTTCTGTCAGCATACTCTCATCGCTCGACGATACTGATTCTCGAGATAAAAACGTGCGAGGCTCAGCGCGTCAGTAGTTAGGAGATAGTGTACAGTCGGTTTTACGATGGTGATCACCATAATTCAACCCTGTCTATTAATTATACAGTGGACCATGGGCATAGCCAGAAAAGTGGGCAGGGGGCACATACCCCCCCCCCTGGGCGGAAAAAAGTGGGTTTTGCACTATTTTAGAAGAAAAAAATTGGACTTTACCCTCCCCTTTCCAGAGGAAAAAAATTCCATCGACCCCTCTGCCCCCGCTTGACTAATCGCTACGCCCATGCAGTGGACTCTTAATATATTTCAGGTTGCTATATTGCCGTGCAAGGCACATCCTTTGCACAACTTCACGCACATAAATTCACTTTTCCATCATGTCACATACAGAGTCGCCACCAGCACGATCTAGCTCTAGCACAGGTGCGCCGGGGTCGAGGCTACGACGGCAGAACCAGGCAGAACATGGAGGTAGCTCTCGATATGTTACCGATTCCGCCAACTTTTAGTAATATACGTGTATCAAGAATCCACTGTGTACCTAACATCTAACAGCTTCTCAAACAGTTCAATCCCGATCGCGACTCAATACTTGTATCTACTGTCCTTCAATAAATCCCTATTACTACGGCCGATGCTGGCTAATATACCGGGGCTCTTTAACGGCGGAGTCTCGTCCAAACGATTCAACTGTAAATTAGACGTGTAAGGTATCCTCGACGGTGGTGTGTCCGCTCCGTTTCGAGCGGCTTCGATATTGAAGCTCTTGCTGCGCGACAGCGACGATGTGTATGTCCTTTCCGGTTTCGCTGGGGGGGCTTGGACGTTGTTGTTGTTCGCAGGGACTTTCGATGGCATGACCGTGTTCTTAATGGATATATTGATCATACTTCCATACTGACGGGACTGGCTGGACGTCGATGGGACCGTGGTGTAGTGCACGCCCTGTTTAACCGTGCCGGGTACCGACTGCTGGTGTCTCGACATCACCTGATGGTTGCTCAATCTACCAGCCTTCTGTCCAGCGGAGTGCAGGTTCCTGGGCAATGTTTGCGTGCTCCTCAAGTGGTCGTCTCTCTCGTGGTCGTTGGCCAATCGACTGGTTGACTTGCTAAACCTGCCTAGGGAACTGGAGGCGACGCTGAAACCGCGTCGATTCGAGAATTTTTCACATATGTCGATTTCTCTGTTTCCGTAGGATCGTTGCTCAGCCGAAACTACATTATATACAGCCGCGAAGACATGCTCTCCCCCTTTTCATGCACAACAGCCTTCACCCAATAGTAGTCGAAGCGACTGACTTTCATCGAGGGATATATATGTATGTACGATTTAGAGCAAGCGAAGCACACACACGACACCGTTTCCTTTGTAACTCGATTATGTAAGCCTTAGGTATCGGCTTACCCGTATACATAATGTCTTTCTGACGCCGCGGCGCATCGTCCCTCTCGCTCGCAGACGAGTAACGCGACACCTTACTTTTACAATTAGCTTGCACCACACGGATCGATTAGCTGTTTATGGTTTTTCTTTTTCTTTTTGTTTCTCTATTAGGTTCTTGCACGTGAAATGTCGTTCTTTATCGCTGTGCTTCGACAAATGTATCTTTGATACAGGATGTAATGATGTATTTTGTTAGTCTCTTATATTATAGTTCATAGGGAGAACGACATTTTGTATGCATTAACCTAGTAGTCACTCTACTCGGTTACCTGTACTCTGTCTCAGTGATGGCTCTATTGCGGGGCTTTCCCGACCGTCTTCCGTCTCTGTACCCTTTCTCGCGTCCGTAGATGCTTCCCCCGAATGGATCCTCACCCAGGTAATACCTCTGCAGAGGTGTCGTCGACTCGCTTCTCTGCCATTGCTCCTGAACAACATGATCATTGGTCCTTTGGCTCTTCACGACCTTGTTGGTATTATTGTTCGTGACGGCGTTTCTCGATGATCTGGCCGGTCGTTCTGGAGGCTTCTCCTCGACGTGCCTTTCGTTCACCAAAGGAATATTCTTGTCTATCACGTTGTACTGTAAATAAGTCGGCCCGTTGTCGTCGGTTTGGGTCAGCTGTGAGGTAGAGCTGCCGCTGGCGCGTTTGTTCTTTCTTTCGGTGCTGGCGGAACGGAGTTTGCCCACAAGTTTTCTGAAGGACTCGCCGATTTTGTACTTCGAGTGTCCTGAGCCTTTAACAAATACACGTTCATTGTTATTTTAAGCGACATAAGCCATAAGCTGTTGTATGCATTGAAACTGACTTTTCATCGGGCGAGCCGAACTCGGTGATTCGCTGGATTTCTTATTGTTTCTTAGAGTTGTCTCTGGCAGGGGCGAGGTTGATCTCGATCTCGAGACAAATTTGTTTCGAGTCTCTGGATCGGCCGCTGCTTGTTCGGGGATGTCTCGACTACGATTCTCCCAGGTTCTTTGCACAACATGAATCGGACTAGCGGTTCTAGCCGGGGTGGAATCCTTCGCGCTTGTTCGTCCCTCGGATCTCGTGGACCACTGGAAAAACCGTCGTCATGGGTACACACGCCATTTAGCAGAAGAACATAACCTACGAGTACAGTTAGAAGAATTCGCACACCTGTTCCTTAGATCGTCTTCTAACAGGCGGAGAAGGGGTACGGTGCCGTCCGTTAACCGATTCTAGATGCTCACGATGATGAACCGATTCGCATGTTTTCGAGTACGTGGATTCTTGCGCTTGACTCCTTGGATGATCGTGGCCGTGTCCGTTCGTGTGGATGATTTCGACGTATTGCGACGGAGAGCTCGTTCTCGCGTGGTTTTGCCTTTCTGAATAACAAGAAACATTTCCTAGTGAACCTAATAGAACCAGTCAAGCGCCCAGTGATGGAGATGATGTCTGAACACTCAGTGCAGAGAAGCTTTCGAACACTCATCGATGATGTACTGTATTGACCATAACTTGTATATACCTCTTCCCTGATATCTTTCTGACCACTCGCTTATCCCGTGGAAATACCCGGAGGGCGACGTTGAGTCTCTACCGTTGCTCCGTCTCTGGTGTCTATTGGCGTTCAGATTTTGGTAATCACAATCCTTCGGAGGACAAGACTTCATGGTGACGTTGATGTAACTGGTATTGGTGCTGGTCGGTATGAGTGAATCGTCAGCATCTACGGAACCATGAGACGATCGGGATTCGCTACCGAAATGGCTCTCCAACCACTTGGAGGTCTCAAACTTTCTCGCTTCGTCCTCCTCCTCTAAATCCAACGGTTTCTTCGTGATCACGTCTTTTCGCGACGGGAAACCCTCCACCGGGAATCCTGTACACACAATTTTATTGAAATCAAAACCAAATCGCCAAAGTTCCACCATTTTCTGTATCAACGCGAAATCGTTCTTGGTTATAATTCTCATTTCGAAGAAACCAAAACGGGATCAAACAATCCATTCACCGGAGGAACGTTTATGGAAACGTGTGGTTCTCATGGCGGTTGGTGACGGTGTCCAATCGCCGATACGTTCTCCCTCGGTCGTCTCCGCGACGTAACGCATCTCTCGACCGACCCTCTCGCCGCCCGATATATAATCGACCACGTCCTCGTCACGTTTCTTCACGAACCTGTGGGAGCTTTCTTTACGCTCCTCGGTCGCGTCGTCGTCGTTCAGATCGCTTCCATCGTCATCGGGTACTTCGTCGTCTTTTATCTATAAAACATTAGTATGAAGGTTCATGAATATTACTATTTTCAACCAATGGGACAGACTGCCTACAACGAGAGTATATACCCAGTGGTGGCCAAGCACTGTCAAAATAAGAATCAGTATCGTATACCAGAAATACTCTGAGAGCCGCATCCTTTATTGGGACAGTATTAAATTGTGAATTACGCTTGCAATTTGTGTGTATATCACACTGCATAATGAAGACAGTATACTTACAAAAATATCATATTACATACATGCGTATGTAGTACGTGTCAAGTTAATAAAAAAATATTGTATAAGTATATGGGAGTTGCACACAGTTCTTCTGGACAATCTAGACCCTTACTGCGGCTCCCGTATACTCATTGAATATTTTTTTATTAACTCGACACGTACTACATACACATGTATGTAATACGATATTTTTGTAAATTTACTGACTTCACTATGCAGTGTGACATTTATACAGATTGTAAGAGTACCAGTGTACGGGCTGGGGTAATTTCCGAAGGGGGTGGAACCAACCTCCTCGTGTTCCACGGTACGTTTCCTCTCGGTGACAATCAGTCCATCCGGTTTCAGCTCTTTCTTTTCCAAGGTCTTTTCCGTGTCGATCACCTTGTTCGACTTGGTCGTGTGCTGTACGACCCTGGGACCAGTTTGCGCTGTCAACTGGGTGCAGGACTCAGCCAGAGCAGCTCTCAGATCGCCCCGATTGTTTCTCACCGCCGTCTGGTACGCCTGCGGAAAACCAGAAGACACGAGTCGCTCGATCAGGTGTCCAGAACACACAAACACACACGGAGGACCAGGCTACGCGTTATACTCCCTTCAAGAATCACACACTCTCCGCCCGAAAATACTATAATCTCGTCCCCGCGCGTATTAAACCGGATCGGGAGGAAGGGGGGCCGGCCTTCGTGCCGGCTCTTGCCTCCTCCCGTTCGAACAAGTGGAAGGAAAGGTGTTTCTAACGAAGCGAGCGCGTGAGGTCACGACACCTGGGGCCGTCTCCGGGACGATAAAAATAAAACGAGGCTAAGGATGTTGCGAAAGATTCCGTTTGCCCGTACCGGTATATCGATACGAGACACAGCGTTCTGTGAATGAGAAAAGAACAAAAATAGAATACAATAAATCATCGATGAGTGTTCGAGGGCATCTCTGCAGTTGTACCAGGCCCTTCTCTTACACCACTTTTCCCCTAGCGGAATCTGAGTTTGCTCGGGGATGTATGTTCCCTTTGCCATGCGTTGAAATCACTCGAGATAACGGATGCTGACGAACGCGAACTACAGTGACTCGCACATTTGTTCACTAACTTCCGAACTAACAATAAGGTGTCAAAACTTACACAATTTCTGTTCGTACATTCCCAATGTTGTCACTTTCGATTATTCTTCAGAGATAAAATTCTTTCAATTTAGAAATAAAATTGGCATTTTGTGGTAAATATCATTCAGAGGTGACAGCCTTTCACGAACAAACTTGTGAGTCACACTTGTATGTATGTATTGTTCCCTGGTCAACTACACGTGAACAAGTACACATGATATCCTGTTTTTCCCCGAAAAATCGTCGCACAGATCATGAAGAATGACCCGAATAACGATAAAAAAACCATACGATCAAAGAACCGCTGTGCTCGACGATTACTAACCTAACAAACGACCTTCGATCGCTACATCGCGTCGATTCGATCGTTGAATGGACACCACCTGTATGATCGTTTAAAAACACCCCGTTGTATAACACTGATCGTGTCAAATCGTTCCTCGGTTTCTGATAAGGATCCAACGACGAGTGTAACGTTCTCTTTCACTCTGGGTAATGAAGAGCGACGCGAAGGGACGAAATGTCTTTTTATCACTCGACGATGATCACGGTTCGTCGGATGAAAACGGTACAGTAGAACGAGTGACCGTGGAATGGACACGAGAGAGGATAGAACCCCGTCGAAGGTAGATACGGGGCACGGGACACAGCTGGTTGTGACTGGGTACCGCCGGTTCGTACGACCTGGTCGCGGTGAAGGGAGAGCCACACAGAGACAGGACACAGCCAGGGGAGAGAGACCATCGACTTCCACTCTTCTCGATCTCTCCCTCTTCCCTTCATCTGCCCCCCTGGCTACTCTTGTCCTTTCTCTTCTTCTCTCTTTCGTCCGTACTAGGTATATCCCTTCTACGGCTGTTACGAATATTCGAATAATTCGAATACTCGTAAAAACGTCCTATTCGATTCTTGCACGTTTGCAAAAGCCCCAATCTCCTACCCCCCAAGAAAAGATGACGGACAATGGAATTACGACCGTGGTTACGCTCTTATATTTTCGTCTCGACCAAGGGAGTATATAGTTCTTATTTTTTCTTTTGTGAAATAGAATGGGTTATAGACGTATATACATTAATTTCGCTTCGAATATCGCGAAAAAAGGTCTCGTTTGAATTAGGAGATACATCTCTACGGTGTCTTTGGTTTCGGAACGATTCACAGTAGCGTGAACAGCTAGTACCTGGTCATAGGTATATGCACCTGTGTGTTGCCCAATCTAGAAGCTATCCGGTACCGTTACGGACCCAGTTCCCGATCTCTTAAGAGTAACTAACGTCGCTTCTTTAACGTATACAATGTAGAAGAATTAAACAAATCCCAAATAATTGTTCTTATTCGAATAAATCTATGTTTTATCTTTAATTTGGCGTTAACAAATTTGCAGAAATAGAAAAGATCAGAATTCTGATCACACCTAAATCATACGTCAATTAAATATATAAATCAAGAAATATTATTGTACGATAAAACGTGGAACTTCCAGATTTAATCAATTATAAATGACTAAATACGTTTTTTTATATTTTATTCGTTATTCGAAACTCTTTATCTAGGTAATGCAATTTGCTAATCCCTGGATCCGTTACAATATGCCTCTTAGTCTCGTCTACGATTGTCGGTTGTGAACCTTCGAGGAGGAAAGAATACTGAGGAGATTTACACTTTCGATTCTCGACCTTGATTCACCTATACATATAACACGATTCCTCCTCCTCCCCCCCTCCTCCACCCCATAACACAATGTATCCATCGAAATGTTACTGTGCCACAAGGAAGTCTCTCTCATCTCAACCTTTTGCCAGGCATATTATTCTATCTCGTCTCGCGGAAATTCCGTGGCTGACTGAGACACGCCATTAACCAGCGCCCCTCTTACGGGCCCGTTAACCACACACAGATTTATGATAAGCAACCGTCGCAAATACGTTCCGCGGCGCTACGATGTACACCTGTTGAGTACGGCCACCTCGAGGGACTTCCTTCCTATGTTCCCCTACGTTCGTTAATCATTCCTGATCGACCACACGACGCAACGGACGGGATTGTCACTACCGACAATCCGTTAACGTTCCACTGTTCACGGCGATCCCTCGTGAAAAACATGAACCGTGCACAGTAAATCCTTGATAAGTGTTCGGAGGTTTTTCGGCACTGACACAGAAAGGTTCTCAAGTGTAACGCTGACTTTTTAATGCGGTTCATTACGAAATATTGAATGTTCAGTGCCGAGTCTTCGAACACTCGCCGAGGATTTACTATATTATTCGAATAAAATTCGAATTCTGGAGTGTATGTATATATCCTTCGAAGAATCGCGGACACAGGTCCAAGGTGATCTTCACCGAATCAAAAAATAGTTTTGTGTGTGTATGTATATCTCCCCGACAAATCACCCGAGAATCCAAAATGTTTTCTGATCATGGTGGAAAAGGGAATCATCCGGAAAAGTAAACTTCATATTCGTTCTCCTCGAGTTCAGACCCAAATGAATACAATACGTGGGATGATGAGCCATCACGAGAGCCGGCCTGACCTTTTCATGGCGCTTAAAACCGCACGTCAAGAAACAGATAGAACGTGCTCGTGCGCGAGCACACACACATTCGGCACCGTCACGACCGTGTGTTGCGGCATGCGCAGGTGGAATTAAGGTGATGGGTGTGTCACGTGGATAGTGTGTATATGTATACCTCGTCCGAGATATCACCCAGCTGTTGACGATCCTCCGTCTCCAGCCTCTCCTCGATCTCCTCCCGGCTCTTCACCACCGTCTCGTTTGATTCTTTTTGCACCACGCTGCCGTCGTCCGCGGATCCTCTTCCACCTGTCGGCCATTCGACCTCTTGCGGCTGGTCACCGGTTGTTCGCCTCTGGGAACAACAGCGACATAGTTCAGAAAAGTGTACAATAATGCTACAGTGGACTCTCGATAACTTTCCGTGAAGGCCTATTTCCGTCCACACGTATATACTTTCAGTAATTAGAAGATTGACGTGTCCCCCACCACATCGTTTGTCACGCGCACCTTTTGCTCCTGCGCCGTTCCACAAGCTATCTTTCTAGACGTTGATATTTTGTGGCGGGGGCATTCGTTAAGTTTCCGTTTCCCAGAAATTTCCTCTCGTACAGCCCCGAAACATTGACAAGGTATACGAGTAGGCCTGTCATTCAATTTATTTTTGCGACCTACTTTTCTGGGACGCTAGCACCACGTTACCATTGTAGTGTCACTATCCACAGTTTTCATAATGTAGATTCACTGTTTTCATAACACAGAGGTCAATAAAATCACAGGCTTTTTAAGGTGTCGATACTACAGATTAGGTAAGCCGTCAAGTCCCGTAAGATGACAAGTCGATTCCTATACCTCATCGGTGTCCGAGCGCGGAAAGTTATCGAGAGTCCATTGTATAATGTACACTCGGGTGAAGTGCGTTGTTCAGAGAATATCCAATGAGTCGAGGCATAACAACAAGAGGGGCCACGTTCGTTGTTCGTTGTCCTAGCAAACGGCGGCCAATAAACGACAATACACGTGTGCCCAATTTCCTACGGTTGTGTTAGAGAGGATGGACTTAGGGAAATAGGGGAAGGTTGCCGATTCGGACCATTGTGTATGGTACACAGTATTCTTGTATGCAAGTCAGTTAATACAATCACCACTATCATACACATGTCTATCCAGATAGTGAAAATTTCTTACACATGACAAGATACAATGGTCGAACCTAGGCGGTGGTCCACATTCGGCAACCTTCCCCTATAACCAATCGGACTTGTATATCCTTCGTTGGACATCTTCTGAAAAACGTACTTTACAAAAATCTTAAAATTATAGTATAAAACGTTTACGTATGCCGACGAAACCCTCCAGGTTGACGTTGAAACGAATGAACAATACATTCTTATCGTGGATCGATCATAACCAAAAACTTTATACCGTCATCTCACGCGAAGCGACAGATGAATATAGTAGAAACGATGCAGAAAACAGAGATAGTAGGTATGCATACAGAAAAAACGCCAGGGGGAGAACAAGAACGTAAAAGGAAAGTGCAGCGAGGGTACGTCGGAGTGTTGACCGACAGTGTATACATATATACAGGGGGTCGACAAGAAATGTTTAACTACTTCTTGCGTGGTGTGCTCCTGTTGCTCGATGTCCTCGGTGGTGTTCGTGGTAACCAGGGGACCGGAGTCGACGACCACCTCGCCATCCTCGAGCACAACCTGTCGTTTCACTCTGGTCTCGATTTGCCTGGTGGTTGTTATTTCCTTCTTCTTGCGGGTCTCCCATTCTTCTGCAACCGAAAGCAGCGGATAAACTGGACTGGTCTCGAGATACCACTGTGATCTTGCGCGCGCGCAAAAAAAAAACAAACCGATCCACCTGGCCCGTGGGACAAACGATCGTGTCGTGGTTGATGGAAAAAAAGAACAGGAAGCACAAAGAGGGGGGATCAACGACAAAGAAAGGAAAAACCGTGCCGCGCGCAAAAGTCGATGGGTCCAGTGAACCGTTTCCCGGCGTTGTACAAAAATAGGACGAAGTGGGCTGGCTAGCTCTATCACGTTAATACACCGTGGAGGAAACATTTCGCGAGATGTCGGATTTGCACGCGACATGCACTCTCTAATCTTTATCTTTTATCTTAGTTACTCGTATCACGAGGAATTACCTTCTTTGACCAGGGCTATGGAATTCTCAGGGTCGATCTGAAAGAAGACAAGGATCGTTCTGTTAGACCGGAATAGAAATGTGTCCCTTTTTCATTCACGAGAAAAACGAACTTTTTTCGTGACGTTTAATGTTTTCTAACAAAATAGTAGATTCGAGGTTAAGGGTTAAAGGGAAAAACCGTTCTTACGTTATCGTTCGTTGGAATCTCGACGAATAAATCGGGGAAAATCTACTCACGAGGATCGGTGGATGGCTCGCTGGCGGTGGACGAGCCTCGTAACGGCGTGTCGAGATCACCTCCATCATTCGATCATGCCTGCCGGTGGATTCTGATGATGTTAAGAGGATCGTGACGGGAAGTAGCGGTTATTTCGTTCGCCGACAACCCTCCAATAAAAGCCTGTCTCTGTTCTCGGATAACCGGACTTTCCTGAAAGAATCGAAGACAATAAACAATTTATCAGCGGTCTACAATAGACTCCTCGCTTCGTCGTGTTGCCTTGGTCACGCATTGATATCACCCGAGGCGGTGTCTCCACGATACACGTATTTAAGTATTCTACCGTTGCGACGACTATTCACTAATGTTTACGTAAACATTTCATAAACGATAATACGAGAAGCTGGCATTTGTTACACTCGTGATTTACAATACATCAACGAGACAATACCTGCACACAGATCGAAAAGAAGATTTTGCTACTCGTTTTTCCCTTTATTTTAAAATTAACACCCAGAGCTTTAAATCGTTATTTTAAAATTATCAAACTAATATGTATACGTTGTATCTTGTTATTTTGAAGTTGAAAACACCGATATTAAAGCAACCCAATTTAAACAATTTTTTGTTTATTTTTAACCCTTTGATACTCAACCACCTGTTCTGGGGAAAAAATTTTTTCTCGCGATTAGTTATCCTCAAAAATGGCCCCAATACGTGCACCTGATTTGTATTTTCACGACAAAACACCTGGAAATGTGATTTTCCAGATGTGACGTATACGTCACACTGGGCGTTAAAGGGTCAACATTTTGTAAATCATGGGTTCCAATAACGAGAGAGACCGTTGGACTCAGTTGGTAATTACTTCTATAAACGTTCGATTCCACGAACGATCAAGGACACCGGGATACAAGTATCATCACGAAACAGAGTCGGATAGCACCGAGAAGGACCATTGAACGCTTCTCTCTAACGCGTAATATCGTAGTCGCGTATATGTATACACGTCCAACGTGCCTGTGTGTATACCTGTGGTATACAAGTGGGGTGTAATAATTCATCGGGACGCTCTTTTCTGCATGGAAGTCGAAGGCCGCAGTGACACGCGGGCTTGTGGTTGCGACCACCTCGATATGGGCCGCCGATACGCGATATATCCAGATGGTAAAGACACGCGCGCGCGCGCGCGCGCTACGTACGACCAGTTGCCCGATTACAGTGGCGTATATTTGTCCCATTGTTGCTTTCCCCATACATAATTCTCGCGTGCCAATGGCCGGGTCACCAGGGACCCGTCGGTAACTACAATCATTAAACTGTTTACACGATAACGAAATGAATATTTTGAGATTTCATTACGGGTCACGATTGACCCGGCCGCTGGCTTCGGCAGTCCGTACTGCGAGGGTTAACACCGTTTAACGCCAGACGGAATACCGTCCATCGAAAACACCAGACAAGCGTGATTTTAATCGAATAAAGGCGCAACGAATGAGAAATATAGTAGTAATGTAAATACCACTGCAGAATTGAAAATGCTTGTTCTCCAAAAAATGGAGACTCCAGGAATTATCTCGCGTCAGGTTCACGATATTTTGCAAATCTTCGATCTACATATTATAACAACGGTTCGTTGCCGTGTTATGTATTTCGGTACCCGCGTCACGTCATCACGATCGAGTATGGAACTACCCGCAACAATTCGTGGATTCTATTCAAACAAGAAGGGCCTCATCCTACGCCATTGAGCACTCGCGTCCTTGCGGTTGAAATAACGCATGAGCTCTCCCTGTGCCTGGCTGAAAACAGGTACGTAAGCATCGCAATTTTCCCTCCCCCTAAAATCTAGGACCTAGAACATACGATGTTAGGGGCAAGCGACCACGTCTATCCGTGGTGTACAATCGACTTTCATATTTTTTTGTTTTTAATCGGTACATCGAGAGACCCGAAGATGATCTGCGAACTAGTCGAGGTAATGGGAGGTAACAGCCGGTGATTCGTATTGACATCACGCCTCGGCGCAGGGATTCCTATATACGACTGTGTTTCGGTCGTGTTTCATTGGATATGCGTGTGACGTCAGTGATGCGTCATGCTCGTGCACGGCTAAACACAACACTGAAAACCGCGTTCCGCCAAGGAGTACATTTTTCTGCTCTGTTGTCAGGCAGCCGATTCACTCTGCGAAGTTTCTCGATCGTTTCACGGTGAAACACGCTCTCATCTTTCCTCTCGTCGTTCTCGATTTCTTTTTTTTCAAACTTTCGATTTTTACAGCCGACAAACGATTCTCGAACAAATCAATAAAATTATTGAAAAAGTTCATCGTATCTATTTTTAAAAGAATGTCATCTTCTTTACCTTTGTTCGGCGCGAAATTTGTGTGTGTTCTCTTAAACGTTTCAAAAAACCGTTATAGAACGGAGTACCGAAAACGGCGGACAGCGACAACAAGTTGCATCGTTCGGAAGAGTAGTTTCGCGAAATGGCAGATTCGATGCGTGATCCATCCCGGAAAGGAACGAAAAGACGACGACAGAATAAATAGAGCAATCGGAGGAGAGCAGGTGGACACTCGTGGGGGCGATACATACGCGTGCAATGCGATAGGACACGTGACCTCGACAAGGACGTCGCCATTTTGAGAGTGTGACGCTCCTGTAAGCGCGGCAAACACGTAATCCCCTCGAACATTTTTCGTGGTACTTACATATACTTCATCGGATCCTTTTAAAGTGAACCAAACAATTCTTTGTCTCACGGTATTTTAGGCAAATAATCCTTATTGTATCTGAACAAATTCTCTTCGGGTACAATTAATATATTCCGATGGAATTTATTTAGAAACAGGTTTCGAGCGATACACCCACGGGTCCCGTGAGAGCTTACTTGACCTGAAACCATTTTCGACTTATACTACACCGTCGACCAGTCGGTCCGACGTCCTCATTCGCGTACGAGAACGGTGACTGGAATGTTCGATTGTATTAATTAAGAAATTAAATAAATTGAAGAAAAAGAAACCATTAGGATAATGGTCACTGAACTGTGGTGAATCAGACCCGATTAGAAAACCGAACATATTACAATTCGATCATTGATACTTCATCCACTGTAACCTTCATGTTTTCTAACAACACTGACTATCTGACGTCACGGAAAATCGTAAATCGGTACTCTGTTCAAGGTCCAATGATCACCACCGAGGGGAAATATCACAACGTACGAAAACACATTGATCCATTTAGCCGGCCAACAGAGAACTACGATAGGCTGTCCTTTCCAGCCGATGCACTGGGAAGATTCCCATCGTTTCTTGTGGCACCGCCGCGAATTACGTAAGAGGCCGACAATGCCCGGGTCTCGTAACATCCTCGTCGCAAAAAGGCGGGCTCGATAGAGAGGCAAGCCTTTTTTTCAGGCACGATATGGTGCACGCGGTTCAAAGCGCAGCGTGGTGAGCGAGAAAGGAGAGAAAGAACACCGTGTTTACATTCACCTGTACGATATTCGATCGAGCTATCACTCCGTTTTCTGTTGTCTCTTAAATCCTACTTTACACACTCGGCCTTCCTTTTGTTATTGGAAGAAAACCTAAAACGATCGAAACACACGAGACACTGGTCGATAATGAGGTGGGTAGTCGGGTGCTTCTCTCTGTTGAAACTCCGTCGATTCAACCGCGGTTTTATCGCGACGCGATGAATCGTAATAACATGGACTGCGCCAGAGCAAAATTCCCGCGCATACTGCCGTGGCCAGCGCTCACGATAGGACTGTCCGTCCATCGAGCACTTTCTGACGGATCCGCATCCGCCAGGCCACGGAGCACCAAGTAGGAGACGACGATCGCCGGAGCAGCACGAAGTGCGCCCGAAGTATCGGTAGTGATGAGATCCAAGCCCTGGATCCCAACCGTTGCGCGCTGGGGGGAGAGATTGTGTTCACTTTCTTCGGGTGGGCAAAGTGGAATTCTACACAATACATACGTATGTAGGTAGAGACCCGATCGAGCATCGAATCCGGTCTCACGCAGGATACGTATATTGCAAATGGGACAGAATCCGGAGCAGATGGAATACCTTAGGAATGCTCGCATTCTTATGAGGTCAGCCCTCCCGGGGGGAGGGGGGATACCAGAACTGTTACTTTCTTCTGTTGGACAAAGCGGAATGTCGGGTCACGATTCCAGCCACCATTCAAGATGTTCACAAAGAGCAATGGTAACGTCTGGCGGAAATATTTAAATACTCGTGCGGTCAAGCAGGATCCCACCAGACACGGGGAGGTGTTGTCTTCCGGGACTGGGATAGCATTCATGTCACACGATTCCAGTCGGTCATTGTTCCGGGAGATCGGCCCTAGCCATAGCAAGGACGCTTGAACATGGAAATATAATTTTGTAAATATTTGTAACGTAATTTTTGAAGTATAATGAGAAGTTAGAAAGACGGTTCGTACACACTGTTTTTTTGGTCACGTCGAGTAGGTCCTATAAAATTTATCGATTCGATTGTATATAATGTACATGTAGGTAAGCGTTACGAAGAATCGGCTGTGACCTGCTGCCCGATATCGCCGAATATCAGGAATGTCCTCGACTCTCGGTGACGATGTCCTTTACCAGTTTTGTCCCTGATAGAATCGTCGTGACAAAAGGACACGTTACGTTTGATCGCTTAACCTTATAACTAGAAACCATTCTTTTTCCCTGTGTAATTTCACTATTCTCAACAAGTCCCAACTGTGCCAGATAATTCGCTTTTGATCAATAGACTGGAACCACGTCCGATGCAACAGTATAAACGAAATTTCAAGAATCCAAAGTAAATACAGGATTTAATGCCTACGGGAATAGTTCGACAAAATTTTGGTAACATCGTGAGAAATACACTCCAAAGGGAACTTTTCGAATCAATTTTTCCCAGACGTCCTATTCTTGGCGCTCGAGGTCGTTTATATGCAAATGCCATCGTTCCGAGTGAACACCATATATCGCGTGTGCGCGGTGCCAAGAGTGATTCATCCCGTGATCATAATTAAAATATCGTGTATCTTAATATCTCCGTTTGCGCGCGCGTGCCCCCCCAAAAAAGGACGTGTTTCCCCCGGCCGGCGTACACACGTGGGGAAAAGAAGAACGGGAAGAAACGTTTACACGGTCTGAATACGCAAAGATCCCCGTGTACCCGAATCTTCTTCGAAACGGATTAAGTAACCGTCGTCTTTCATCATCGTGACGGCGCGCGCGCGAGCGTGTCGTCTTAATAATTATCGTTAACGTTTTGCCGGCCGATGATTATCCCCGTGACTCAATACCGCATCGATGCGCTCTGTTTACACTCGACAGTGAGTCCTGTAATAGGCGCTATTGGCTCTCTTGTTGCACAGTTCAACGCGAGTATTTGTAATACCGGCCACGGAAATTTTACGTTCCGATTGCGCAATGCAGCAACGGTGTAAATGAAAAAACAGCTGCTTAAGTTCACGCGGCGGCTCGTTAAAATTAAAGAACCACTTTGAATTTGTTTTTTTTTCAGACTCCGTGTATCCGTGTAATAACAGGACTCTCGGAAGATGTGTGGATAGTTACTCGATACACGAAATAATTATAGATTCGTTTCGTTACAATCTCAGTCTTCCTTATTCTTTCCATTCATAGCGTTACCTTCTCTCGTCGGACACCGAAACCTTACACATGGAATGAAATTTAAGATTACACAGAGATTTAAAAATACTCTGAAGTCAACCTAGTCACGCCTTAATCACTTATTGTCTTATCAATTTGTCACGTGTATACTCGTATCGTATCACCATACGATACATTTTCATACGCAACAACGCAACGTTTGCTCGTCCACATTCATACACAACGATAATACAAGAATACGCGACAAGTGGATACGCACCTTTAGACGCTTATTTGAATTCTGGGTTAAATGGACCCTGGCTGTCACCGCCACCTATCGACAGAACGGTTCGATGTCCAAGGGTTAAACTGATGTTGATAAAAAATAAGAAAAGGAACAGTGGTCGCAGTTGCGTTAGCCATTCACATTCTCTGGTCCCATAATATTTTTATTCCCGGTTTTCCTTGACGCTAATCCCGTTCTCTGTATGCAGTTGGTGATCGTGGTATCCTTGGGCCGAGGATCGCCGGTACGAGCAATGGTGCCAATGTCAATAGCAGAAACTGCAAGAGAAACAAGTAACTGGAGCAATTAGCCGGCACGACCTTGCGCGTTGATAATAATACGTCGACGACGAGTCAGAGACCGTGGAGCCCGCGAAATGAGAATTCACCTGAATCGACCTCGAGATACATATTCTTCCGGGAGGACATCGATACGTATGCGACACCCCCCCCCCCTCCTTATATGTAGGTAAGCAAGAAGACGGGCTCACGTCAGCCACCGTGCCGGGGCAAGCTTACCTATATGGATTTGGAAACGTGGCCATCACCAAAACCGGGCCGAACAAAATCGTCGCGAGCCGCGATGGGATACGACGAGACAAGTCCGCAAGCGGCGGGCGTAATTGCTCCCCCGTGAACTGGTTCAAAAGAGGCGCGCCTTTTGCAGGTGCGGCCTAGCCCCCCCCCCCACGTTTTCTTCGAACAAAAGTTCCATGTAGTTTCCTATGCTAAAAAAGAGATATCGGTATCACTAACCAGAAAAAATAAACCAAGAGAATAAATGCATCGATCTTTCGTGAAGGAAATCCAAGATGAAGAGTGATAAATTCGAGGACGTGAAGGATTAATGTCGTATCAGTCGTTCGAATTCTGGTTAGGCTAGATGCAATGCTGGTGAAAACGTTTGGGTTTATTTTTTTGAAAGGGCTCAATTTATGATTATATGAAGATATTGTTAGACGGAACAAGAAAGTGGGAGTGGATGGTCGTTCGATGTTTCATAAAATAGATCGAACTATAGTTTACTGTTAAACCGTTATCTTAGATTTCTTCTTTTGTTTCTAGTGTTTGTACTGAGGAGAATAATAATCGTGTCTACTGCGTAAAAAAAATCGAAAATGGTTAGGTCAAGAGAATAAATGTGTAAGATCGATGATAGCTTACCACGGAACGGAAAGTTAGTAAGGTTGTAAGCAAACGCTCTCGAAGCAGAGAAAGTCAAAGACATTCCAAAATAAACGATCTCTTCCTGGTAGAATGCTAACGGAATTATCCGTGGAACAACAGAAATTACGTGAAAGCAGATGTTGACTATTCCATGATGCTTCGCTAAAAATTGAACGATCCCAATCCTTTTATCATTACATACATCAATTCCATTGATACATACCGACATCACCTTCCAAAGTTTCGCGATTGAAATGATTCTAAAAGATTCCGTACGAAACTTTGCGATATCGATATTTTACCTGCTGATGAAGTTCGCATAGTATGTGGCGGCAACTAGTGTCAAAATACGACACTATTGGATGAAACCCAATGAAGTTATCTAGAGGGTTATGTGACCACTAATCTAGGAAGAAAATCAAAATGCTTGAAGGAGAGAAAAACAAAAAACAAAAGTACTGTGATAGTTCGAGAATTGTTTTACTAAAACGAAAATTAAATAAAATCATATTATTTCAACGAAAGATGTTATTAGTTGATGAAGAAAATAAAGTCTGTGTTAAATGGTTTAAATCTTTCTATTTAATTATTTGAATCTAAAAGTCACATAACTATTAATCACCATTAAAGTCTCATTTCCATTGCACTGTAGACTCTGCAATAAAACAATTAAACCCCAAAGGATCCATCTGGGTCACGTAGGTTTAAATCAAATACAAACTTCCCTCCTTTCCTTTGGTTCCAGAGACACGTCATAGATGGCGCTACAAGCCGGCTGTCAAGTATCAGGATAAACACCTATCTATAAAGCGTATCATTCACCTATGTTCCGTATGTCCCGTCTTCGGAGCATAGGTACGCCATGTTCTCGGACGTTGTGTCAAGAGAGGAACAGCACTGACGTGCAAGAGAGACAGACTGAACAGAAGGTGTAACAGGAGGAAGGGAGAAGAAGGTGACAAGGTGGGAGGGTGAAAAGGAAACAGAGATAGACGGATGACAGAAATGCATAGCCGTGGCTAGCAGCAGCAGCAGCAGCAGCAGCAAGAACAGCAGGCAGCGCATAGAGGATAGATCGCGTCGTCCACACGCGTAATACGGGGCGTGTGCTAGGTTGGTCGGCGGTCGGTTTCCCTAGCTGGTGTCCGTGGCTGGAAATCGAGGATGTACCAGTAGCAGTGCGGTATACGCGTCATCGTCCCGTGACGACGACGTACGAAGAGGTGGTGCGAGGCCGCGAGCACGGTGTGGGCAGGTCGCGGCCATTTTTACCACACGATGCGGCAACCGTGCGTGTCCGTTCGATCCGCCATTCCAAACAATCGGTGTACTTCGTGCCCTCGCAGGGTGCTTCCAGCGACAGTGGCCCGTGGAGGCACTCACGAGCAACGATAATACGCGGCAGTTATCGCTCGATAGGTGTATTTTATTCGGCTAAGGGTGACGGAACAGTTCGGGAAAGCCGGCAGTGCTGGTGGTGGTGGTGTTGGACGTCGTCGAGGACGACGACGTGGAGGAAGAGGAGAAAGAAACGAAGAGAGAGGAGGGAAAGAAAACGACAACGACGATAATAACGATCATGGGGAAAAAGAAACGACTCGAACGGCCGATATATTGGAATACGAACGTAGCTGTCTGCTGCCGAGCGTGCCTGTGATTTGTGATAATCGCGCGTTCTGCGCTTGTGTGTTCGCGGATGCTAGTGCCTGTTCGTTCGGTGCCAGTGTCTGTCTCTCCCTCTCTGTTTCTTTCGCGGTGTGTTGCTCGCTCTCCGTCTGTCCGCCCTGCGTGCGTGTTTCGCGTGCCTCCTCGCCACGCACCGGACTCTCTCCTCTTCCTTCGGCAGCGCGATCGATGGTGACACCGTGTGACCGCCTGTGAACGTCTTTTCTCGGTTAAACACGGGAAGGAACATCGTTTCGATTCCAGGGAGGTAAAGAAACGAGAAGACGGGATCAAGAGCCCCCGGAGTGTGTAGCATGCGTGGCTGTGTGTCCCGTCGGTAAACGTCCCGTGAGAGTGTATCCGAAAGCAGTGGTGTGTGCTCTCTTACTCGCGCTCACCCCACCATCCCTCCCTCGTCTCTGTCTTTCTTATTCCACTTATTCTCGTTTTCTCTCCTTTTTTCCCCCCGTTCCATCGTCCTTTTTCTATCTCTCTCTTTCTCTCTCTCACACACACCCTATCTATTTATCTCCCTCCCTCTTACTCGATTTATCCGTTTCAATTGCTCTCACGGTTCGAAAGAAGCATTAAAGACGAGCGTGATAGAATGCTCGACGATACCGCGACACGACGGTTGTCATCGTTCTCGTTGTCGTCGTCGTCGTCGTCGTCGTCGTCGTCGTCGTCGTCGTCGTCGTCGTCGTCGTCGTCGGCGTCGTCGTCGTCGTGTTCGTCACCGTCTCCGGATCCTCCGTTGCTCACGGCTACCTTGGATCCGTCGTGAATGTCGAACTGCTGAGGGGATCTCGGGTTCTCTCGCGAGGTGACACCAAAAAGCACTAAACGGTCGCTGGCCACGGAAACAGGGACGACACGGACTCGTCGTCGCCGCCTCGAGATGGAGATCGAGACGAAACAACGGAATCAGAGGAATCGGAGACGTGAACGTGCCCAGCGTATGTTGGCGCAGAGGGAGAGCCTGGCCACCGCGAAGCAGCAGCAACACCACCAGCAACAGCAACAACAGCAACAACAGACCAGGCAACGGGTAAACGACGAGGAGGACAGCCACAGCGGCGAGGACGAGGAACCCGCTGCCGGTCTTGGCCTCGGACTCGCCAGGACCGGTCATCCGCGTGACAGCCATCCCCGACCGCCCAGGCCACCGCGACCCCTCAGGCCTCGTAAGAAGTCTTCCCTCGCGGCTGCCAACCAGAAGGAGCCTCCCTTCGAGGAGGACATTATCGACGGCTTTGCCATACTCGCCTTCCGCACCTACGAGGAGCTCGAGGTGAGACACAAACATTTATACGTATACATAGTATATATCCGATCTACCTAGGCCCCATCTGTTGTGCCTCTTGTCGCTAGGACCAGTGATATTGGATGAAAAAATTATACACCATGGAATTATTTCGCGAGCGAGTCACAATGAGCAACGAAAGTAAAATAGAGCAGTGAATCAAGGAACATATGATCATATGTAATTCGACTTATGTGCAATTAAATGGAACCCGAATAACGTCGTGTTTGGACTCATTTTCATTGGTGAAACACCAATAATCTATTGGCAGCACTTTCATGAAAATTACAAGTGTTTCATAAGTTTTTTTCTTTACTAATATCATCTCTTCGAGTGTCCTATCTCGTTTTCACAGGCAATCTGTGTTACGTGGAAGCAAAGATTACGTCTGATTTTCGCAGTTGAAAGAAAAAACAAGGGGGAACAATATGTATCCTTGTTATACCAAATTGTTAACAATGTCAATATGGACATCGCTACTGTTCAATTGCTTTCATTGTTCACTGTATCTACTGGACGATTCCTGTGATTCGCCTTAAAGACATCTCCGGTGTGAGAATCCATTATATTGTTTATAAAAGAAGTGAACATCGGATCAAAGCATTCCACACGCAGTATCCTAAAGTTACACGAGTTACGTGATACCAAGGGAATGTACGAACCAACGATTATTTTTTCTCCATTCTTGTTTACATCTCGAGTTTCTAAGTATACCTTGAGATGTTCAAATTCAACACTTTGTGTCTTTCTATGAATGTCGTGGGAACAGTGATTACTGCATGAACAAAAAAAATAGTTAATGCAATTTGTGCACCAGTATCGATTTTCATGGAGATGTCCACTGTATATTAAATTATAGATTTCTAGATAGATTATCAGTTCACCGATGAATGACTTGAAATATACATAGTCGATCCCCCTATGCAGAAAACTTCTAGGGAAAATGACACATTCGAATCGATTCTAGGCGGTTTCTCGAAGTCTTTAACTCTCTTAAGTGTACCGCGCGAACTTCGTGTGTATGTGACACCGGGCATCGGGTCGTTTTCATGGAAACCGACCCAGTGGCTGTTAGAAGTAACTTAGAAAAGAGAGAAAAAAAACGAAATCGTATAACCTCTGTACGATAAGTTCTGTCGTCATAAGTTCCGAGATATCACAGGATATCGTCGACGGATGTTAATATTGTTACTATGTTTCGGAGTTTCTTCTGAACTAGCCTTGCGGCTGCTCACCTGCCACCGGCTGGCCGTTACATAGAGTCGGACGGAGAAAGACGGTGGTAGCTCGTTGCGCGCGTGCAGGCCTCCGCGAGCGAATCCACACCACGCTTGCTCGGCCCATCGTGGACTTGTTTTTTTCTTTCCCACCTCCTTCTCCCGCCTATCGCTCGTGCCAGCAGTTTTTATATGTTGTTGGGAAAACTGGCAACGATATTAACGTGGTTCAACGTATACGGCTGCTTAGTCCCTCCCTCCTTGAGAAGAGTTTATATTGAGGCGACGACCACCGTTCTGCGAGGGGATGGGGGCCTCTTCTGGACAAGATTTGTACTCAGACTCGTTTTGCGCCTTTTTTCGCCCGGTTTATGGCCTCCATTCACAATCTCCGCTGTCCTTTTCGTCACCGCCTGTAGCCAGTGGCCGTGCGAATTTGTTTGTAAATATAATAGTTACAATTCCATTTGCAAAAAAATAATAACATTGTCTCTGTTACACGTACAACAGTAGGGTACAATCGAGATCAAAAGAAGTTGTGTAAAGTGAAATAAGGGGAAAATGTGAGGTTAGAACAGGAAAAGTATGAAACGATGATAAAAAAAGGGAAATGAAATACCGACTTTTTTTTAAAACTGTTTCGTCGAAGTTTGATTCAGTGAACGAGTGGATACTAAAAATTGTATGACCCTGTGCTTAATTGGTTGCTCTCGGTGTTACGTCACTAAGGCGCTTCGTATGTGTCGCGTTTCATTTGTTTGTAAATTAACGAACGAGTGAAATTTAAATCGCCTAGCAAATAACAAAGAGAAAAAAAGCAAATGAAATTGCACGACACATGATTCTGCTTGTCGGGGATACGTTGCGCGGGAAAGGTCGGTTTACAACGGAACACACGGGATAAATATTTTGTGATCGAAGCGCGACCGTTTATCGTTAAGAACGATTCGTAAAATTTCATTATTCGATACAATAATGTAAGTGGATTCGTTCGACCAGTCGGCGATATTACTACGAGGAGAGTAATAACAACCAATTAAAGGGAATTGCCAGCTCGTGCGATTAAAGGGTTCAGCGTTTAACTCTCACTGCGTTGATTCGACCGGATTAATTTATTAACTTTTTAACCCCGCGTTACAATGCTTGATTAACAAAGGATGGGGATTGTACAGGAACAATTATGTTCCATTTAGACCCGAATATTCATGGGAACGAGTTTCTCGTCAAAATTCGTATTTTTTCGCCCCCACTCTTTTTTTCGTTTGATCGTACAAACGCCTTTTTCGATATATTGCCCTGAAATGAACTCGAGTGTTTTACACACTCGGTACTAAGTCAACTGTATATTTTTTTTTCATATGTGATAATCATTTTAAAAGGTTTTTTTTACAGTCGTGTTGTTATTTCGCGAAAACCCGTGTTTATCGTGAACCAGTTCCGCGAAACATATAAATGAAAACTCACTTCATTCGACTATAAAATATTTTTTAGTCAGAAATTATATTCAATAACACCTTAATAAAATATAATTTCGACCAAATTCGAAATAAAATAAAAACACTCAGGGAAGCCGCAATCGTTGACACACCATTGTAAACGATTGGAGTACCGTTTTGAAATATGTTTAGATCTCGACCGTCACGAAACCGCGATAGGAATTTCAAATATCGGAAGCATCATACTGTCTTTAATGCATTGTATATTTTTACATCTGGCGGGTTTATACGTATAATTCGCCGTGTAATATCCGCATATTGGGATATTTTAGCAGGGATCTCTCAATGACAGATGACTGTACTCTAATGTTATCGATTCATTTATTTCTGACATCGTGGACTCACTTCGTCGCGTATCAGGTGAAACAAATCGCCGAATCTTGTTTCGTACAGAATCGTATTCGAACAATTATTACCGATAGTTTCGGAAGTGTAGACAACATTTTGTCAGCGCTTTTAAAAAACCAAATCCCTACTAGCGGATAGCTCGAACGCGTGGTGTGACTCATTGATTGAACAGAAGTACATAGTTAACGGACAAAGTTATCCCGAACCGATAAGTCGCTTAGGCACTTTCGAAGATAACGATATCGTGGAACTGTCTGTAAGGCCGCGTCGCAGCATTTTCGTATTTCTTCTTTTTTTTTTTTTTTTTCTTGGTCTTGCCCTCCGTATATCGACGTAAATTTACATTATAACAAGACAAGACCTTCGCAACCAGTGAAACCCGATGTTGCGGTTTAATACCTGATATCGGCCGTTTCTCCCCACCCCACCGTGCACAGTTTTCGTCGAGGAAATATTTCTGAACAATTAACACGGATCGTATTCCCGAACGATCGACGGATCGAATCGTTTCACCGTGGAGCAAACCAATATATATGTGTGTGTTATGTGTCCACCTGATACCCTCTAATTCGATACGCAATTTTCTTTACGTTACACGAAATGATAGTTGAGTCCCCCTGTGAGAATAACTACTACCCTGTCCTCCTTACTTAAAATGTCCAATCTAACAAATTATCGTTTCTCACGATTCTTCAGAATATTTGGAGCTCTAAATGCTTTTCACTTTTTAGTCAAAGTTAGAATATCCAGCGTGCTTTTTGGGGCTCTAGAAACAGCCTACATGTTACATATGTAAAACTCAGGTAACGCCGCACAACTCTCATTCAGAGTTCTTTTGATATCAATAAAATTAAAAAAAAATTGGTCACATATAGCAAGGGACTGTATTTGCCGGTGTACCACAAAGAAAAATTAGTGTTTATTAAAATTAAACAATTTTCCGCAGAAAAGCAGATCACAAGCCTCCTCTACAGATTGATGTATTCTTCTCTGTTGCCGCGTTTTAAACGAAATTCCCGCCTAAAATTGCTCGTTTTCATGATTGTCGTCTCGGGGATGTCGCCTCCTCCCTTTCAGGCTCGATTGTTCGGGCCTAGTGTTTTTCTCGTGGTATGTCGCATCGCGAAATTATACTTGGTAATGGGACGAAAGCAAAACGGGGCGATAAATATTTAGTGATTCACCTTGACGAGCCAGTGACCTGCGCCGCAGCGATTCGTAAGCATTCTAGTTGGTGGTCAGGTAGGAAGCGCAGGAAAGTTGGAAAAGCTCGAGACAAAAGGGGGGCCTCCAGGGGGGCTGTCTCCCTTCAAAGGCCCTTCCGTGTTTTGTTGAACGACCGGACAGACTGCTTTCCGTCCGCTCCTTTATGCGATAACAATACGTCTAATAACCGCTGAAAAACCGACAGGAGATGATTCGCGTATAATGATACGTGTGTATAATAATATTAGCTATAAATATACAAAAAGTAGAACCACTTTCCGACATTACTAGAATCTGTTGTTATCGCAAAATATAATCATTTGAAACATTTGACAAGGGTCGGTTTTGTTACGAGCCCCCCTGATTTTTTACGCGATTTATCTTATCTACGCGATATAAATAACCGCTATACAAAGCATTGACTTATCATTGTAATCGACTCTAGATTTCTCGCAAATGTACCTTCGTTTCACTACTTTCTCTGCATTCATTTTGTTTTACATATCTTATCTCGAATAGCTTCTGTCACGTAGGTACAAATACACCGTACAAAATAAATACCGGTGATCTATGCTTTGTTTATGTTACGTTAAAAAATACGATTTTCAGAGATCGAAATCCAGGGATGTATATGTTAGGTGTGCAAATTAATTCGTGGCCCTCACAATTAATTTTTGACTGACAAACTGCCATCATTTTGTTTGAGAGAGGATTCTACACA